TAAGAACGAAGAAGAAAAAGAAGTATCATTTACATACTAAAAATATTTTGTAACTCATATTTTTTATCAATGTTTCTAAGTATTTTCAAAGTCTAATACATTCTTAAATAGCATACTCTTGTAGTTAACGTTGTGTTTAATAAGTAGCTTATAATTTTACACAGGCAGTAAACTGCGGGCATTGAGTTGACCCGTGTTCGCTGGATTGATAATTACGTTTACATGCTGTAAACTCTTGCAAAGAACAGTGTTCATCAGACCAGGCTTTCATCATTGATTCTGCTTACTGTTACTAGCTACCAAATGCGAGTACCACTTTTAGAGCTCATCCTACACGTGACTTAGTTCACTTGACTGTAGACTACTACATATTTTACTATACACTTGCTTTTAATTCCCTTTTATTAGTTGAATCATTAGTTAACAATCAGGTCTTAGAGTATTCATCATATAACAAACACAAACTAATAACGCCCGCTATCCAGATTGTAGCATCGTAATAAATACACGCAGCGATTAGTAAATATACACTTTAATAAGAACGTAATGTGTTCCAAATCCGGGAATTTAGCCTTAAGGCTAAAATTGAAACACGTGGTGTTAGATTGTGTATTGGGATGTCTTTGAAACAAATTGTTTTACATGTTACATTTAAGTAACCCATTGCAATATTGTATACATTAACAGCAGGTCTGCTATCCATTGCGAGTGTACTCTACGTACAACCATGTGTTTCCCAATTGATAAATTTTCAGTTTCTTCCAGGCATCTCTTCGAGGGGGGGGGGGGGGGAGACGAGAAACATCTATGGTCAGACCCCCCCCCCGCCTCCTTCCCTCCAAAGATCGAATTGGAATTTATATAGAAAATATACTTTTACCAATGTTCTCCCCCTCGGAAATTTTAGACCGCCCCCACCCTCCCTCACGAAAAGTATCACGTCCATTATCCCATTATCACCCCACACCTGGATAAAAAATGTCTGAAAGAAACTTAAATAATGATCACCTAAAATATTATACCTTAATAACTTAATCCTGTTCTCTTGTTCCCAATTAAGCTACTAGACACTATAATCTGCTCCAGCTGATATCGATCACGTGATCAAACTGTATAAATTCCGGCTACCTAGCTAAACCCATTTTAAAGCAAGGTGGACAGTCATACACACGGGCAAGTAGTCTCTTCTTTGTTGCAACAAAACCAGTTCAGCTTTACAAAGGTAAGGAGTATAAAAACATATGCATACACGTTTTTAAATTCATTTTAGGAAACTAATACAGTAAAACGTTGTTTTCCAAGCACTTATTGTATACAATATATATATACAGCCTATATATATATATATATATATATATATATATATATATATATATATATATATATATATATATATATATATATATATATATATATATATATATATATATATAAATATATATATATATATATATATATATATATATATATATATATATATATATATATATATATATATATATAATATATATATAAATATATAATTTTGTTGATACTTTTTTCCATACAATTTGTTTGTACACCTGGTAATGTCTATTTAGAAGTTATTTTGTTTGACATAGGGGTCTATAAACACCAGTGTACGTCTACCTGATTCTCTGTGAGTCTATTTTTTTGGTAAGTTTAGTTTGATTAGTCGTGGTAGAGTGAGGTGTTCGCAGGTTTAAACATTTGGTATTCGTAGAGGGAGGTGTTCGCAGGTTGGAGTATTTGATAACTGTAACATAATCTAATCGTTTTTTTGTTCTCAAACGAATTCAGTGGGTTAATCGAATGACTTGATTATAAAGCGTTTTGAAATATTTTTTCTAGATCAAATTAATTTAAAAAAAAAAAAAACTTATTTGTATGCAAATGTACCATAACAATGAAATTAGAAAATTATTTTTAAAATATGCAAATTTAAATGTTAATCTTTCAATGTGGAATACAATTTGCTTGTTTAAGTTTTTTGAAATCGCTGATGTTTGAGATCAAGATAAAAAAAATTCTCCATGATTCAATTCTAAAAATGTCTATATTAACAAACACGATTTTGATTGCAACTAAATATTCATAAACAAACCATTATTCGCTTTAAAATGGTCTGTCTTTTCATTGTTGATAGACAAATTAGGTGATCTAAATTAACGTTAATTTCAAAACTGTTTTTAATTTTCTATTTCAATATAGCTGTTTTTGTACTACAAGAAGGCTATTTCGTTTTACATTGTATTTTTTTTTATTAGATTCAAAATACTTTTGCGAATTTTTTTAAAAATATGAGCTGTTTTTCTTCTAGAAAATGAAAGCTGTCGTGATTGCCTGTCTGCTGTTTACCCTGGCTGTTGTTGTGGCCGACCAGGTCGATGACGTGCCTGCGGTCAGAGAGTTGCAGGAATCAAAGAAAGATGTTCCAGTAGAGGCGGCCAGGGCTGACGTGGACCGTAAACAAATCAACGACTGTGAATTTAGGCCGTGGGAGCGTCAGTGTCGTTAGGTCAACTTGTCCAGTCTGTCATGACCTAAGATTTAAAAATTGGACACAACCTAAACTAAATGTTATCCAATTATAATTAACGAGCCGACCCGCGGCATATCATACGCCGCTAATTAGTTGTTTTATTTTCAACTTTTCAGTAATTCATAATTTGTTTATTCGACAGTACCAATACTGCGACTGAAAATATTTGCATTCAAACACTATCAGTAGGTCGTTAAGGACGATACTACCCCCACCCTCCTTTCCCCCAACCCCTACCCTATACGCCCCCCCCCCCCCCCGTGAAAGCAGCCTCCTCTTAGTTACCTCTCCTAAGTTCAAGATCGTTTCAAACTAAATTATCTGCACCTAGTAACCTTCACTAAACCCGGCTCTACGATTGTAAACATTTAGCGTTAACCAAAGCTCACCAGACCATGTAGAGTGGGGTGGTGGGGAGCGCGCTTACAGCTTGTTTTCTAGCGTCTCCAAGAAGAGAATTATATATATAGATTAAAACAATATGAATTGCTAATAGTAAGATAGTTTCAATAAAAATTAAAAAAGACAACATACTATGTATTAAATTTAATATCTTTGTTGTACCTGTATATTCTGTTTAAATATATTTACATAATCGTGCACATGTGGTTTTTTTTGTTACACATTTGGTGTATTTTTTATTGCATTAGGGTCTAGGTACAGACAGCATGAAGTCCAACAAAATGTCAGACATAAAATCTATTGCAAGATTGGCGTTTTATTGTGGTGCTGCCTTTAAAATTATAATATGTTTCAGTGGATGGTTGAGAAATGTGTTAAAATATCCTATAAATAATCAAGATTCTTGTATATCAAGGCTTGATTTAAAATATACTTTGACCATAGAAAAAAGTTAACCAGTAATCTGACAATAGAGACTATATGTGTCATTTTGATCTTAGTGATATATGTCTTGCTGTACTCTGTGTTGTTTATATCTATTTACTAGTCAAACGATATACAATTATAATTACGACAATTAGGGGTTCTGTTCTAAAAGTGTATAACCTAACGGTGGTGGCGAGAAAAGGCTGGTAAGTTCCAGAATACACTTACCACAGTATACAATAATTCTGCTGATTCAATGATTTCTGGTTTAATTTTAATTATCTTTGAGTTAACCGGTTTTAAACTTGAAAACCAAATATCAAGACCATAATGAATCATAGATAAGTAATTAAACATGAATTCACAAAAAAAAATCATTAAGAAAGGATTTAAAATTTTTTTAAAAATTCGTTTTTATCTCTTAGCAAAGGTTTATGTAATTAAAGCCATTAAGCGTATATTGGTTTGATTTAGAGCCGGCCAAAAACTCAAGTCAAATTACTTAAGAGGACCTAATAATTAATGTTCGTGTAACAATGTAGTGAAACCAATAACGTAAAATATTTTTTCTACTCGATACGTGCATGTAACAGATATTGTTGTTATATCCGACTGGTAGATAAGACAACGGTCACAATCAATTCAATAATTAAAAGATTTGTTGAGAATTTAACAGTAAATATTTTAATCAGAGAACATGAACTTTTGTGTCACCACATGATGGTTTATATCTCATCTGTGTCACCCTAGATGATTGGGAAAAGAAACAGTGGCGGACGTTTATTGCAGTTAACTCAGCCTGGACTAGCACTGATCGGTCAGTGGTTGTTGACATGAAGAACTGTCAAGAAATTTACTTTTACGTAGACTACTCTGATGAAGAAGCAAAGTTATTTATTGTCAGTAATTTTACTATCATTAATGTATAGAAGCACAACAAAAAACCTATAAATACTTAGAATAATAAAAAATGTAACCACCGTTTAAAAAAGAGAACGCTGTAATGTTTTGTATGTTTATCTCAAGTCGACACAGTTTATATGTTTGACACCATATGCCTTTAACCCTCAATACACATCTCAAAGCAATCACATAACATAGATTAGTTATTAATAAAGCAAATGACAGTGTTAGTACTGTTTTATTTGAGATATAAAATTTAAAAGGATATAATTAAATATTTAATTTCAAGTGCTTGGATACATGTCGAATTATTAATGGCTCAATATGGTTGTTCACGTAATTGTTATGTAGGATAAGTGTGCCAATAAGTTTACTTTTTAGAGCTGTACGTTAAAAGGGTTATATTTTGATTGAATAGATCTATTTGTGCAACGTGAATGCTTTATACTTATTGGTATCTATAGTAATCGTCATATTAGACTCAACTGTAGTGCTATTTTGAATAGTGCTTAATGTGTATAGTTTTGTTGATTTTTTTCCTTAATTACTGTGCGTTTCCATTATTTCTTAAAATTATGTTGCTTTTGTTTGTTTTTATTTGGTTTAAAATGAAAAAAAACAATTTCCAACTAAACATTAACTGCTTCTGAAAAGAAAACTGAAAATATTTACGGAAAATTCCGATATTACCTAACACTTCTTGGAATGAATTTAGCAATTAAAAACGCGGCCATGTTGTAAGATTGTAGCTATGTACGTTTTCTAGGCTTAAGTAAAAACGTGAAGGTAAGGCCTAATTGTATTTAAGAATGTGATTTTCTTACAAAAAGTAAAATAAAATAGTATCCGTGATAAGAGGTTCGCAAGCTAGCTAGTTTATAGTTCCTTGTATTTTTATATTATAAAGTGTAAAACACAATCTTGACATGACAGTGCAGCTGATACAGAATGGATGTTGTTCAACTTCAATAGTTGAGTAATAGAGTTGTTTCTCCAAAATTATTTCAAAAAAAAAAAAACGTACTTTTACTGCCTGAAATTACTCAAAATTTGACAGAAGGCAGAGAATTAGATGTGAAATTTAGTTTATCGATCTGAAATAGTACTCAAGTTATAGACTTCCGGTTATCGGAAATCGCTCAAAAGTTGATACGGAACTACCATTTTAATGTAATACTTATGTTATGAAATTTCATAAACCTAGCTGTAACGGTACTCAAATTATCGTGTTTACAGACACACACACACATACACACACATATATAAACATACACAAAGACATAATACGGACAATATTGCAAAATTATTTTTTTCCGACTCAGGGAGGTGTAAAACGTCCAGATTTGTAAACATCTTTTTTTTCGCACGATTACAATACTTTTTCTATACTCTGTATATACGAGAAAGCAAAACCGAGTATTTTTTAAAACCTGCTATGATTCTGTAAATATTAACACAACTCATTTTAAAACGCTACAGCATACTCGGAATTGGTATAGAGTTTTTTAGCACGTATCATTATTATTTTTTTTTATAGAAGCGATCAACAATAAAATAACTAGCTTTTTGTCTCCCCTGTAAAATTTACATTTTCGGAGTTCGACGGGTTTGCGTTACTGACATCAAAGAAATAATGTAAGTGGTAAAAACCTACAAATCTAAGATATATGCTTTAAGTTACAAATATGAATATGGTGGTTACGTTTTCAGGACAGTAAATGGTGTTGGTCCTACTCACAATGAATAATAACGGTAAATATATGTTATTATTTAATCCCGTTATTATATGAGACATAGAAATCATGCCAGTGGTTAACACAGTCGAGATACATTTCTTTTTCAAGATGCGTCCAAGAATTCAGGCCAAGCTAGTTACAGAGCATATGCGATGTTTGGAAGAACAGATAGGAGTTATGGAACCTGTCATGAAAGCTATGAAAAGTGTAAGACAAATACGCGAATGTACATTTTTAATATACAGTAATTCAATGTAGGTTTTTTGAATTATGTAGCTGGCTGGTTAGAAATTATATTGGTGCCTTTTTTTGTAAAAACGCTTTAGATTGTTCTTACATTTTGTTAGAAAATACATGTAAATTGAATACAATACGTATCAATTTAAAATCAACAGGCAATGAAAAAAAGCAAGACCTGGTTAGAAGATACACAAGACGACAGGTCATTGACCTATCTCGAGTTACAACAAGTGTTGGACACAGCCACCCAGGATTTCTTGGATTTATCTTCAGCATTAATACGTTTGTTTAGACATTATATATTTAAATTAAAATTGTATACTGCGATACATTTTATTTATAAATAATATATATTTGAATCAATCGACGTACGTATTAAGAGTTTCAATACCAATGTTAATGTTGCTAAGTAGAGTTTAATTTAAACGAGTGCTCCATAGGTTTGCAATTGCATCACAGACATATAAAAACGATGTAACTTTCAAAATTGGGTGATATATGCCGCTAATATTATTGAAAAAAATATTAATATTTTTCCCTTTTTTATAACACTTTTAAAAACAGATCAAAGCAACGACGTTCAAGATGATACGGAACGCGTTCACTCGGTCACATATACGGCGTCACCTGTAAATCTGGCTTCGAGACAATCCCTAATAGAACTTCCGACAGGTAAAAAAAAATGTTGCGATAAAAAAAGTTACAAAGGTTTATAATGTAGATTTATTTGTATGACTCGAACTTAATTAAATACGTATAACTAGATACGTTTTACATTTTGTTTTCAAATACCATCATGCACATCTATCTATATAATACTAAAACTCAAGTTTGTTTACCTGTTTGCATCTTTTTTGTTTGTCCGTTTGGTTACACTATGTGTAGAGCTGTGAAATACGTATTTAGGAAAAGAATAATGTTATTTTTGACCAAACTGTTAATCACAAATTAATTTAAAGACGCTAGATTAACCACATTAATTATAAAAGTTCAGAACCATGACTTTACTTATAGTGATATCACATGATTTATTTACTTTTTATAACAATGATGGCGGCTTCCATCGACGATTTATTTGCCCATTCAGAAATTTAACATTATAAAGCTAATTTTCTGTGGGCTACAGCCTTAACGATGCGTCCGTTTGTTATTTTTATTAGGATCCAACACTATTATCAATTTTCAACAATTATTTTAATTTGAGTATACATTAAATTTCTCTAGATCTTCAGATCAGAGGTCGGACGAAGTGGAAGTCAATCCTAGATCTAAAATCTTGAATATAGTTCAAACAAAGATTAATTAGTTAAAAATACAATCTGTTATAAACAATTAAACTGTTAATTTTTTTTATAAAACTATGTTAGTCTTTAAATATTTGATATACATCTTTGCTTTTTACCTTCAAGGATCATCTAATTCGTGAATACATGTGATTTATCTATCTCTAGGTTCTAGATCTATTCTAGATTCTAGATCTAGAAAAAATTAGCCTTTACAAGCTAACCGTAATGTACTTCTGATCTAGATCTAGTTCTAGATCTAGCTCTATCTAGATCTATGTTAATAATGAGTTTCTAGACTAAACTATTTCAGGCCTTAATTATTTTTTATAAACCTTGTTTGTTTAGCTATGAAATTGGCTGATTTGGGATAAAATTTATTTTGAAATAATACTAGATCTAGGGCCTATTGCGTAACTTAAGTTTAATCTACTTAATGTAGATCTACATGTACCACTAATTTTGCGTATGATTGTAACTTCCAAGATAGCTGAGATAGCTACCCATGCGGGTGGTACGGGTTCGAGACATATCATGTAAATGTAATTACTTTTTTTTTCTTTTTTTTTTATAGATGTGAATGATAAAGTTGCCTATCGGGACTTAGTAGGACACGGGGCAGGTCAAGTAGAGTTCCACTGTCTCTGTGTTCTCAACATATGAAGAGATAATGTGGTCAGACCCATTCTCAGCCGAAATGGGTGTTTTCACACGATAAAAACATGTTCCCTGAGACTTAGTGGTACACTTGGCAGGTGAAGTAGAGTTGGGTATGTGTAGAGTTCACCTGTGACATCAGCATATGAAGAAATAGTGTGGTCTGACCCATGCTTAGTCGAAATCGCTATTTTAAAAGACATAAGAGTTGGCGGAATACTGGGCAGGTAAAGTAGAGTTGACCTGTTTTTGTGACCTCAGCATATGAAGGGATAGTGTGGTCAGTTACATGCTCAGCCGAAATAGGTGTTTAAAAAAAATGTCTGAGGTGTGACGTCTTTTTTAATGTGGGGTCTTGTTTTTGTGTGACGATAAGTTATTTTTAAATTGCAGTTAATGACACAGTTAAAAAACACGTATCGTTTATCATTTATTTTCACAAATGTGTTGTAAAGGCCAAATTGAAGTTGTTTCTCATTTAAATTTGATCTTTATTTGTTTAGACATAGTTAACAGAATAGATCTGATTGAGAAAACTGTAACATTATTACAAGACACAAAACAACGGACTGAAGAAGATATATTAGAAATAAAACAATGGAAGGACGCCGTTGTAACAGAACAAAATGATATCGAGAAAAATATTGAAAAACTAACGAAGCAACATAAGCAGAAGTTTAAAAACATAAGAATGAAAATAAATGAACAAGATGATAAATGTTGTGATATGAATGAAGAAATTGAAAAGTTAAAGCAAAAACAATCTGCTTTAATCTCAAGTATAGATAAACTGTCGCCAGTAGTGAAAAAATATGAAAACGACATAGAGAAAATAAATGAAGAAATTCAAGATCAAAAAAAATAAAATAGTTTATGCCACACAAGGAGTTAACAAACAATCTGATTTAATATCTGCTTTACAAGAAGATGGACAGAAAGAATTAATCAGTACAAGACAAATGCTTGATAATTTGTTTTCTAAGGTAAAATAACTTTTGCTTTTACTTAAAGGGAGGATAATATTGTTTTGAAAAATGTGGTAATATTGTGATGAAAACGCTTTCCACAAAAACAATTTAGCTTATTAAAACTTAAAAATCATTTATTAAGTATGTACTATGGTGTTTAAAGATGTTCAGATATCAGTGTACTATTTATATTATTTAATGTACAATTTAAAAAAAATACTTTTCCGCAATACTTTTTTACTTTCTCGTATATACGAAGTATAGAGAAAGTCTTGTAATCGTGCAAAAAAAAAAAAAAATCGAGATTTTTACAAATCTCGACGTTTCACACCTCACTGATACGGAAAAACATAATTTTGCAATCTTGTCCGTATGTCTGTGTGTCTGTCTGTGTGTCTGTGTGTCTGTGTGTCTGTCTGTCCGTGTGTAAACACGATAACTTGAGAACCGTTACAGCTAGGTTGATGAAATTTCATATATAAGTATTTTATCAAAATCGTAGATCCGTATCAACTTTTGAGCGATTTCCGATAACCGGAAGTGGTACTTTTCCTACTTTGAATTTTTCAAAAGCCTATAACTTGAGTACTATTTCAGATAGATAAATGAAATTTCATATGTAAGTAAAAGATCTAATTCTCTACCTTCTATCAAATTTTGAGTCATTTCCGTTGACTGGAAGTAGTACTTTACGCTACTTCCGATTTCTCAAAAAACTAATGTAAATTTTAAAAGTAATAATAATATTGCGCACCATTATGCGCTTTTTTATTTGGCGTTCACTTGGTGTGCAATTAATTTGTCTACGAGATTTTATTCTATTTTTAAAACTTTAAGTATTTAAAATGGATTAAAAATCATGTCTATAGCCCGAGTTCCCATCCCCTGTTATTTTATATAAGAATATTCGAGAAAGTTTAGGGGAGATCACTCCCGGTTTATTTTAGCAAAATGTAATATGTAAGCTACTACAACAAAGATTAATGTCAATGGATAGAGTGTTTCAAAAGTTTACTGGACAATTCTCAACTAGTGGGCACAAAAACATGAAGGTAAATATATTTTAGGCATTCAAATTTTGAATTAATTTAATGAAGTTAGTTTTGCACATGCAGCTTTATAAACATTAAACATTTTACGTAATTGTATTATTCATTGATTTTTAATTGAATCTACTGATTAAACTGCAGCACTCGCCGATAAATATCTAACATATGCATGCATCAATATGAGTTTTAATAAAGGATTGGTCAGTAAATGTAATTGTTACAAAATTCAAAATAGTTTTAATGTTTTAGCTATTAAAAACAAATCTAAACAATGCTGTAATATTTGTTTTATTTAGATTGATGCTATGGAAAATGATGTCTTAAGGCTGACAACAGATTTTCATAAAATTGGTCAGTTGCTGTAAATAATTTAAAACTATGACTAGATTATTATTTATATTAGCTTGAATATATTAATTTTTCTTTGGCCTGAATGTTAGCCTGTATGCTTACTAAACATAATGGGTGGCTCTCAAATCAACCTAGATTTCTAAATATAAGTTCATTAAAAGCAGCTAGTTTTTTTTTTTAAAAATATAGCTTATTTAATGGGGATTTTTACTTGCGTTTTAAAATGTTTAATTCCATCAAAATCAAACTCATATTACGAAACTTGTAAATAATTTTGCTTATTTACATTGCTGTACACATTCTCAATTTGTTAACAGACATTACCAAGTTGAAAATAATTCTTCCATCATTATTGTTGACATGGATAAAAACCTTTTTTTGGTTTTTAGATTTTGCAAACAAAGCGACCGTAAAAAAAATAATAAGCCTGAACATTCTAAATAGTTTAGAATATTTGTTTTGTTTAAGGCTACTTTTCTATTTATTTTCATCAAGCTCAATCTATAACCAGAAATTTCAATTTCGTAAGACAAACAATGAATGGATGTATAGGAATTCTATGATCGATATTCTAAAAACCCTATTTTAAAAAAAAAAACTCAAATGAATTGTACTCAAAAACGTTGTTGATAATATTTTCAAAGTGTAGCTTTGTTTGTTTTCAATTTCGGTGAAAATAAATACAATCACATTGTTTTTAGAATTTTAAATGTTTTCCCTAGTTACAGAATAACTAAAACCATAAATTACCTCCAATCTTTAGTAAAGTCCAGCAAACATCACACATTCATATCTATATAACAATATTTATTTTATTAACAACGTGCATAATTTTTAAAAATATTTAATGGCACTTTCGAATAATTGTTAGACTGTTCTCGTTTGAGTACATTGACTAGACATACTAACTCTAGAATTCTTCTAACCACCCGCTACCATTTTATGCCCAACACTGGTGTTTATTGGTGCTCTCTCTTCTGATGATGTTTTACTGCCACTATCCAGACAAAAGGGTGTAAAAAACAATTGCAAACTTGAGTTGTCGAGAGTGTAATTAACCTGTGAAGTTACGCATGATGACGTAATTTCATTGAAGACAGAAAAAAGTAAAGTAATATAAAGTCATTATTGTCCAACAAATTACCTTCAGCAAGATTACAATACCTGTCTCGTGAAAGTACTGAGAAACAATGACATTTAGTTTCGTTGGTCTTGCGATATTAACAATAAAATGGCTTCTAACATAGCGTTGTATAATTTTATGAATATTTTTGGGAAACACAAAAAACGAAAATATTTTAGTAAAATTAGGTTGAATACGTTGTAGTTAAGTTGTTTTGAAGCTGATGAAATGTTTTTATTTGACAGAGAACCTGGTACGTCACAGATATGTTTGTCAAATACAGCTTGCTTACACTACACCAGTGAGTACTGATTCGATAATTTTAAAATTTGGTGATGTCCGTGAGTACAACGGGCAACATTTTAATCAAACAACAGGAAAATTTCTATCACCACATGATGGTTTATATCTTGTATTTGTGACTCTAAACGAATGTGGCAAGAAATTTGTTCAAGTTGGTGTGTACACTGAAGACATTCTGTGCCTGAGCACCGAAGTTAAATTTGCCAATACCAACGCTGCTGGGTCAGTAGTTGTTGACATGAAGAAAGGTCAAGAGCTTTTCTTTAAAGTCGATCATGCTGATCAAAATGCTAGTTTATCCTGGTACAGTGCATTTTCTATTGTCAGTTTGTAGAAGTGCTTGGTGAGTGTTACCTTATTTATATATGTAATCCAGATATGTAACACGATTTTAAATACTCTAAAACCAGAATTTACAACTATACTACTTTCAGAAATGTATAAACTTCTGTCACTTCACAATTATCAAGCATGTAGCATCAATCAAATATGAATTAGTTTTGTAATTCGCTCAACTACTTACTTCTTTTATAGATCACATCGTATGAAAATGTGTATGCTTTAATTTATAATACAGATAACATGTACTGAATATATCCAGCATTCCAAAAGCCCGATGTTTAATATATGCCGTTTATAACTCTACTTATATTCCAAATGATTTACTGATTATGCACAACACATAATCAAATGTAAATTTAGTTTGATGATTTTATAATTATACTAGTAGAAACGTGATGAAAAATAAAAAAATATTACAATATGATAGATGTGTTTGTATCATTTAAAAAAGTACTATATTTAAATGAAAACGTTTTATAAACAATAGGAACTTTGAGAGACTTTCAGGAAGGGTAAATCACCATGAAGAATGAGCCACAGTGGGAGGGGAAATAATCGATTAAGAAGTGGTGAATAAATAATAGGAACAATATGTATCAGAGAAATACTACAAGAAAAGAAAAAAGTTAGGCATGTAGAAATATCTTGTATTTTCATCCTTGCTTGTTTTAACATACTTAGAAAACATCGCTCCGGATTTACTTTTTTTACGGAGGTAGAAACATCTATTTTTCTCAAAGTTACTACAGATCAATTAAATTAGATTAATTAAATTATACTGGGCGTTTGCATGTTGATTTGGTTACCGCAAATTAATTCACATTTTTCAGAAAACAGAGCATTAGATCTTTTATATATATATATATATATATATATATATATATATATATACATATATATATATATATATATATATATACATATATATATATATATATATGTATATATATATATATATATATATATATATATATATATATATATATATATATATATATATATATATATATATATATATATATATATATATATATATATATATATATATATATATATATATATATGTATATATATATATGTGTGCGTGTGTGTGTGTTTGTGTGTGGGGGGGGGGGGGGAATTCCGTCTAACTCAAACAGTATTTAAGTTATAGGCTTCAGAAAAACTGAAAGTAGAAAAAGTTCCTTTTCCGGTACCGGAAACGGATTTAATATGATACTTATATATGAAATTTCGTCAACCAAGATGTAACTGTGCTCATGTTACCGTGTTCACAGACAAACAGAAACACACACACACATGTGCACATATTGCATTATAATCTACACGTCATTTTTGGAAAACAAATGGTTTGATTTTTTTTTTAGGTTGCATTTTAAAATACATACAATTAAACATACACAGAGTTTATATTCGAGTGATCTAACATAAATTAATGTAAGGACAATTTAAAGTAGCTATGCTTCGTATGCCCTTGTGAAATTAACATATATGCTACTTCATAAAATATTATGTCTTGTCAATTCAGTACGTTTATGTAACATAATATGCTTGTCGCAGATAGCTTGCAGCACCACTCTCCGTCATGGTTTAATCATGTCAAGATTTAAAGATATACATGTATGTAATGGTTAAAACTGTAATCAAACAACTTGATAGTTTATATAAGTATACGAGAAAGTAAAAATTGTCCAATTAATGCAATTAATCATTATTTTTTTTTTTAAAAATAGACTAGTTTTTTGTTAATCTAATTAGTTATTTTACAAGCTAAGGAACGCTGGCAAGATATGGGTTAGTACGTAAGTAATAAATTAATATTTGTAGTGATAAAACGCATAGTGCCTACATAATATAATGAAAAAATTTATTTTAAAGATATTACTAATACTATGGAAAAAAATAAATAAAACAGGAGTGATCTTCCCTAAACATTAACGGTATATTCTTATATCACCCTAAGTCTATCGGAGAGCACTTTGAGCTCTAGTTCAGGTGTGATCAAATCAAACAGTACATGACTGCTGATAGACTGTTTATAAACTAAATTGGTTGAATGTCAGTGATACATTTCTCTGCAATACACAGAGTCAGCTTAGAGTAAATAACAAGCAAATAAGATGGGTGAAATATAAACCTCGGATCTCGGCCTTTTAAAATTTCAGTGGCCCCCATGTTAATGACGGGCCATTGATAAGAAAATGATAAGTGTTCTCTTCACGCTGATCATTTCAAGTTTCCACAACCAAGAAATCCACCCACCTACTTGAAATTATGTGTTAGTTAGTGTAGTGCTCGGACAAAGTTAAGAGTAAAGAAATCGACATTATATTAAGACATGGTTTTTGAGATGTTTGCTTATCATCTCTCTATAGTGAAGACATGTTTCATACACATACTATTGCTAAAAGCAATACCTATTTAACAAGTTTTTTCTACAACACATTGGACAGTAGTAGATATTAAACAAATGTACAATTAGAACCAAATTTTATTACGTTCCCCGTAATAATAAAAATATATATTTCCAATACAAACAAAAATGTTTAATTTGAAAAATACAATTATATTTTTGAAGCATAAATAATATTTATGATTTAATAATATTACAAATATACAGTCTTAATATTATATGCAGTAAAAGTAATGCTAGGTAGAGATATAAAACAGGCATGATATCTTCTGTGTATAAAATAAATAATCCTCTTCATACTTAACGATCCATTTGGCAGATGAAATAGAGTTCTTATGTTTCTTCACCTTGGCATATAAAAAGTTTTAATTAAAGAGTTAGGCAGACATCAGAGCTAAGGGGGCTCAGGTACGCTCTACTGGCCTGGACTAATATTCTATCTTGAGACTTTCGAGTTAGCAGAACTTTTACCCTATGTCGTTACCTCTTCGGTGTATGAATTTAATTATAAGCTCATAGCGAGAATGTACCCTTAAGGTAATATTCAACTAAAATTAAAAATTGTATTTTGATTTTAAATTTTTGGTTTATAAATACAACTATATTTAATCTGTCAGCTAAATTCTTAAAATAGTGAAACCGCTTCCTTTTTGCAGGAAAGATCCTGATCCTGATTGTTGAACTTTAAAATATAGTACTTGACCTTTCTTCATCGGAACTACAGTTGATCCGCAAGCAGAAATATTGTCAGGTTTCACATAAATAGTTTTATACTTTAGTTCTCCGACTGCTACTTGAACCAAAATTGGATTATTTCCACCGGCTACTAACGTCACAATAACCAGTTATAAACCATCATCTGGTGCTTCAAGTTTTCCTGTTGTTTGATTAAAATGGCTGCCGTTATGTTCCCTCAGCACGGGGAATGTAGAAATAATTAATCCAGTGGTTACTGGTGTGTTGTCCAGGTATATTTGACAGATGTAAGGCTGACATACACGGGCCTCTGTCAAAATAAAACAACACAGTGTCTTCATCACACAATTTCATGTAAATGTCTATGTGTAAAGGGGCAGAATAAGCCCTTAAGGGGATATGCTGCGTTTTTTATTTTTTTTCAAATTTAAGATCTAAAGCCTTTTGAATGCTTTTACCGTATTTGGCTCATAAAATTGAGTATGATACGGAAAAAAAAGAGTTGAATACAATTTTGGTTGTCCTGGAAACCCAAAAAAACCCTCCGCAATTTTTAATTTTTCGGTACTTTTAAAAATGCTAATGCTTTGTTATTTATGCACTTATAGCAAACAATTTCAAACTGATGATATTTCAATGTAGATCTATATTAAAACTTTAAAGATGCAACTTTTTGAAATACCTGTTAGTAAGAATTGTACAAGGTCTAAAATGTCGTACTCTTTTTGTACTCAAAAGTTTCAAAATTTGCATATTGTTTACCATAAGCTTTTTTTCTATGAAAACCATCATAATTCCCTCGTAGAAAAATGTGTATTAGTTATCATTTTCTTAACACAAAAATGGACAAATATCGAAAAGTGCAAGACACCCATCATGACGAAAAAACTAGAAATTTTGTGATTTTTTTAATGAGCATATCCCCTTAAATAAACGTGTTACCTAAGATAAAACATGAAACACTTGGTTATGGCTAACAGGTAGGGGCCTACACGTACAATTAACATTTCCAATAAACATGTTAGCCGGGATACAACATTTCAAATGTTAGTCACATCTTACAACATAACTTCGTCATGCTCAATATAAAGGAATGTTTTAAAATACAATAGATTAAAATACACTACATTATAAGTCCTTTTAGATCTCTCATTAAATCAAGTTTGGCCAACAATATAGCAAATATCCAAAAAAATAAATAAATTAAAAGCATTATTCAAACGGTAGAAAGTTATGCACACTTTTGTACCGGGAATACATTAATGTAAAATATTACGCTTATTATTTGTATGGTAATCTAGGTTGCGAGCAGAGTACGTTTCTTAATAGCTATAATGTATATTAATAAAGCAGTTGTAGATAGGCCTAATTCCACGTTTATCTAGAGGTTAAAAAAAAATATTTACTTCCTCCCCCCGTCCATTTCTTTGCACACCAAATCAAGCACAATAAAGCGATGCCCATTTTTGGCACGTCCTTTGTACATTCGTCGCATTGGCGCACCATATTTGAATTTTTTTTTTTAATTCGGAAACACATTAAAAAAATCGTAATTAACGAAATCAGAATCATAATAATTATGAGGCAGTTTCGTAGAACTAATTTATAAATACATTATTAAACCAAACTTTAAAAAAATAGCAATGCTATAGAGCCAGTCTCTTGATTTGAGAATTCCCTCAGATCCATGGCCTAAGTTTAATTAGGCTTTACACTTACGGCTTCTTACATGTTGTCCTAATATATTTAAATAGTAGTCCACTTATAATTTACTTTACTACTGTGATGGAGGAGCGATGAGGGCACACAGTGGTGGAGCTCTATTTCACCAACATACACCCACCTTGTACAAATTGTATAGAAATATCGAAAACAAAATGTTATTCTCGCATTAAAATTAAAAACTCACCAATTAGTTTAAAATCTGTCATCAATTTCAGTACATCAGTTTCTATTAATCCTATCTGAAACAATAAAATATTTTTTTAAAATTCTTTTAATATCTAGTATCTCGAATACTATGTAATGAAATCGAGCAAAAAATCAAAGTCGAGATATTTACAAAACATAGTTTTGCAAATTTGTCCGTATGTCTATGTATGTGTGTGTGGATGTGTGTCTGTGTGTCTGTGAACATGATAACATGCGTACCTTTACAGCTAGGTTGATGAAATTTTATAGATAAGTATGATATCAAATTTGTAGTTCTGTATCAACTTTGCAGCAATTTCCGGAAAGCGGAAAAAATAACTTATACAACATTTGATTTTCAAAAGCCTGTAACCTGAGTACAGTTTCAGAGAGACGAATTTTACATGTAAGTTAAAGATCTGACTTCTGTCAAATTTTAGTAATTTCCGATTACCGGAAGTAATACTTTACGCTGTATTTTATTTCTCAAAAAACAGATTTAATGATGAAAGAATTGATTAAAAATCCCCGTAGAGTTATATAAGTATATTCGAGAAAGTTTATGGGAGATCTATCCCGCTTTATTTAGAAACATGTTATGTTTGATTTATATGTAATTCACTGTATTTTTATAAATAACGGAATACTTAGTATTTTGTTTATGGGAAGAGATAAAAGCAGTTCAAAAATGAAAGAATGTTTTTCTACATAAAAAACTGTAATCCTACTTCTTATCTTTACCTTTTTTGTAGTTTGCTCCTTAGCCTCAAAATTCTGATTAAATACTTGAATAATTTTGTCAATGGGCATCATTCTTTGTTGTACAATTCTGTACATCACGTTTAGCTGTAACGATGGATAATATATATATATATATATATATATATATATATATATATATATATATATATATATATATATATATATATATATATATATATATATAATTATATCTACAGTTACAAACCATGAAAGTTAAATGTTTATTGTAAGGCCAAAAGTGAAAGTCATTAATCATTTTTTAGAAAATATTAAAATTATATGATGACAATTACAGCGATACATTATTATAATATAAGATTAACTTGTAGCATATAAAAAAAGTGTCGAACTAAATATTTACCTTCGCAGCGTCATTCTTTACTTCTTCTTGTAAAGTAACAATCAAAGCGGACTGTCTTTTCATTTCTTCAGGTATACTGTCTGTTTTATCTGTGTAAACTTGCATCTCTTTATTTATTTTGAGTAAGTTTTTTTCATATTCTTTCATATCTAGAGACAGTTTCTCTAGTGTTTTGTTTGACTTGGATTCTCTATCTTTTAAACTTTCAATTTCTTTGGTCAGCTCCTTTACTTTGTTATCTTGTTCCCTCATTTGTTTTCTGAGGTTTTTAAAATTCTGCTTTTGTTTTTTAGTCAGTTGTTCAACTTTTAACTCTTTATCATTTTGTTCTGCCAAAAAGTTGTCTCTCCATATTTTAAGCTCTGATATTTCTTCTTCCGCCTTTTGTTTTGTTTCTTGTAGAGAAACTAGATTCGTCTCTATCAGCTTCAGCTTATTTACTATTTCTGTAAAAACGAATTAAAATAAATATTTTACGAATAAACAAATGTTGCACACTACAAAGTAATTAAAATTATTATTTAGGAAGTCTAAGTTTGTTTTATGAACATAGGATAATGTAAAAAATTGACCACTGCTAAATCTTGTATACCCGGTGTTAGTTGAGCCTCTTTAGTGACTTGATCTGTATTAATGTCAAGATTTTCTGTTGCTGTAGTTTGTGGTGTAGACTGAGATAAAGATGACGTTCCTTTTTCGACATCCGCGTGTTCTTGATTTTCATCTAGTTGATATATATATGAACAAAATAATGTTTTACGACATATTTGTGTCAATGTGTGTTGTTATCCTAACAGTATGTAAATTTGTTGTACAATATTTATGAAGTTTCTTGTGCACTGTATTGATTTTCTATAGACCTACAACGCTTACACTTGGTATAATATTAGAAAACAGTATTTAAATTTATGTTCAAACTATATTTATGAAGTTTCTTGTGCACTGTATTGATTTTCTATAGACCTACAACGCTTGCACTTGGTATAATATTAGAAAACAGTATTTAAATTTATGTTCAAACTATATTTATGAAGTTTCTTGTGCACTGTATTGATTTTCTATAGACCTACAACGCTTACACTTGGTATAATATTAGAAAACAGTATTTAAATTTATGTTCAAACTATATTTATGAAGTTTCTTGTGCACTGTATTGATTTTCTATAGACCTACAACGCTTACATTTGCTAGAAAACAGTATTTACTTATGATTGATGTTGTGGCATTTATTAAAAGCAATGTGGCTGATTCTAGATCTTGGTGTATTTCGATGTACGTGATAGACGGGTTGTCATTTTTATTGTTTGTCCAAGTCTGACTTTTTTCTACAGCCTTTAAAAAAAACATTCTCCATTAAACTTAAAAACATTTTAATATTCAATTATTTAGAATTGTTTTTTTTACTACTTGTTATGTACATAAATCATCGTTAGCTTGTACATTGATGTACAAACAACATTAATAATCAATTACTTGTTTCATAACTTCCAAGACAGGTTCCAGAACTTGTATCTGTTCTTCTAAATATTTCTTGTGTCGTGTTACAAGTTCAACTTGAATCCTGGGTCGCATCTAACAAAAACAAAACGATGGTCGATGTAATGACTATAAAACTTGATTAACCAGAAAAATGTAAAACCAATACAATAATTTAAAATGTTCACAACCAATTTATATAGTTAAAAAAAAATCACAATTGATTTAAATTTACAACACGGGTTTTCAGCAAACAATATTATTCATTGACATTTATTCGGTGCTTATTAAACGTGTTATTCTACAAAAGAAAATATTGGACAATAGTTGATTCTGATTGCATGACATTGCCGTCTTCACTAAATTGATTTAAAGGCAAGCAAGTGAAAATGAAAGTATCTAACGGGAAAATTCGCTGTTATAAAAATACATTTCTTCCAGCGTTAAAATGGTCTTGGTCTTGTCTACAATATATGTGACTTATGATAATAAATATATATTGTTTCTTACTTCTTACTAAAACACAATTAGTTAAAATAAAATCACATTTAAATATATTTATAAATTCATTTGGTCATTTAATGTTTTTACACCCATGTCACATAAATTCTGTTACAATTGAATCACATTTCTTTATTTTTAACTTATCTTAAAAATACTTACAATTTGTAAGTGTCTACACGACACGTATAATACACAACATAATTCACATTTGATCTTTTTATCTTATATTAATTACTAAATAAAGATACATTGATGTTCTGTGCACTATGTGTTGACACTTTAATCGTAAATTTCTGTTACGTGTTTGACGTGTAGGTAAAACTTTCTTAAACTATTCAACAACTTCTTGGCTGCCCTTGAAACTGGAAGTAATAAACTGGGAATTCCGCTTTTTATCTGTTACATTAGCACCTCGGTACAAAGTGCACAACAACTCATGGGACATAACTGTGGCTGTTCTTGTTTTTTTTTTGTAGCTCCCCCTGCGATCATTATACGGACAATTGCGCCTTTTTCGGAGATTAATAATTAATTATATGAATTTAAAATTAAGTTCCGAAACAATTAAAAAAAAAGCCGGGAATGATCTCCCCTAAACTTTCTCAAACATTCTTATATAACAATACGGGGGATGGCAACTCGGGATATAGACACTATTTTTAATCCATTATTAATTACTTAATTTTTTAAAAATAGAATAGAATCACGCAGAAAAAAATAATTGCACACTAAGTGAACGCCAAGTAATATGTGAATATTATTAGTACTTTATAAATTTACATGTGTTTTTTGAAAAATCGGAAATAGCCTAAATTACTACTTCCGGTCAACAGAAGTTACTCAAAATTTGACAGACGGGAGTGAATTAAATTTTTTACTCATATGTGAAATTCCATTTATCTATCTGAAATAGTACTTAGGTTATAGGCTTTTGAAAAATTCAAAACAGAAAAAGTTCCACTTCCGGTTATCGGAAATCGCTGAAAAGTTGTTACAGATCTACACATTTGATATAATACTTATATAGAAAATTTCATCAACCTAACTGTAACAGTACTCAAGTTATCGTGTTTACAGACTCTTATACACACACATACACACATACACACACATACATTCGGACAAGATTGCAAAACTATGTTTTTCTGACTCGGGGAGGTGTAAAACGTCGAGATTTGCAAACATCTCATTTTTTTTTCGCACGATTACAAGACTTTCTCTATACTTCGTATATACAATGAAGTAAAAATATTTCTTAGGACACTGAACACACAAGATACACATTACATACTCGAACTCTGACCTACGAGGGAAGGTTGGTCGCCATTAATGGAAATGAAAAAGTACTAAATCCAGTCACTGACAGTTATTTTAGTGCACTTAAAGATCTGTGCTAGGCCTTACGAGATGTATTTCACACAAAACTTCAACACAAATAATGTGACGTATAAAAAGTTTTATAAATAATTTAGATCTACTTGAAAATACATCTCATATAGAAAGGATAAAAAAACCTTGCCAACTATATAATTAAAGAAGTAATACCTTTATGGTTAACTAAATGCCGGGGATGTGCTAGTTCGTATGTCAGTACATCTGTTTGATTCTTTTTTCTTTGCATGATTACAATACTTTATACTCAGTATACGAGAAAGTAAAAAGCAACAGCAAATACATAACTTGAACTACGAAGTAAAAACTCTCATGTTATGTACGCTAATGTCACTTTATCAATAACATACAGCAAGTAGATCTACAGCCTACTTCTTAGGGTTACTAATCGGTGCCTAACTCAGCGCCAGGCATGTGCGAGGCGCTTTTATAGCCCACTTTAGCGCCCATACAACTAATGTTTGTGTTATTCCTGCTGGTTATAGAACGTCAACCACCTACAGATCGATCTTAATTTACATGTCTTATCTTTACTTGAGGTGTCAGGGGATGGGAGAAAGATGATTAAGTGTACAGAAAAATAAACACATTCTCACACAGCTTCAAGAACGTTAGTCTGTGTCAAGATGATCAGCGTTACATATGTAGGAGTCAAGATAATCAGCATTACATTTGTAGGAGTCAAGATGGTCAGCATTACATATGTAGGAGTCAAGGTGATCAGCATTACATATGTAGGAGTCAAGATAATCAGCATTACATTTGTAGGAGTCAAGATAATCAGCATTACATATGTAGGAGTCAAGGTGATCAGCATTACATATGTAGGAGTCAAGATAATCAGCATTACATTTGTAGGAGTCAAGATAATCAGCATTACATATGTAGGAGTCAAGGTGATCAGCATTACATTTGTAGGAGTCAAGATGGTCAGCATTACATATGTAGGAGTCAAGGCGATCAGCATTACATATGTGAGAACATATACTTAAATACCCCGGGTTGATAAAACAATATAAAAACACTGTGGAACAAGAGTAGAACTGCAACTAAAAAATGAATAATAAAACTTCAAATAAAGAATAACAATAGTTGTTTATTTAACAAACACTGTGAATATTTGTGAATATTGTTTTTTAATTCCAGTAAAGAGGTCCGTGAGGAATACGGTGATTGATCTTATACTTTAGCATTATCTTAAAAAAATCATCTTTAAAGAACAAAGAAAGCAGTAGCTAATTAAAAAAAAGTTAAATATCTGAACTGCAAGACTACTATTACAATGTTCCAACTTATAAATTTAGTTTTCCGTGACATTTTTTTCCAAGCAATTTTTCAGTACTTTAAAATAGTTAATACAATAGAGTTGCATGGCTAAAATCTACTGAGCACAAAAAATGCTTTTATAATAGTGCTGGATAATAGCAAGATCCCTTACTTTTGTAGGTAATATTAAATAATTAATGCATAAATAATTAGACATTCAGTTAAGTTAAATTTTATGTCACATTGTCTAATCGATATATCATTGATACATTTCTTGTCCTGAGCAATTAATCATTAGAGCATGGCTTATCATAAATAGATTGCTATTACAGCCATTCGATTTTTGAAAAATTGTAACTTCATAGTTGGTCATCGTGACAGAACCAAATCCTTTACACTTCTGGGTGGTAAAATCCATATTGACTTTGAGACTCTGGACAATTCCAAAAGGACCAAAGAGCTGCCACAGGACACTGGGTGTCGGGCGCGGGGTTATAAACAAAGATGCACCGGCAAGTGACCAGAAAACTCCGTGTTATTCCAAGGAATTCCTTTCTATTCCAGGGAATGT